ACTAATATTTTAAGATTAATATTTCTAAATAAATTTTCAATTTCTAATTTCGATCTCAGTAATTCAACGACACCGTCTTTTTCGCGCGAGTTTTTATAATTAATATTCGCCACCTGACGCGTTAATAATGAAACAATTGTCGAAACATTAGTACGAAATGCTGTCGATGAAATTATATTTTAATAGAACATTTGGGAAGTGAGATTAATTAATTGTTATAATATTCATAATATTAATATTATAATACAATTATAATATAGAACGCATCAGCGTTCGTCGATGTTTCGATACAAAAATATGATAGAACATCCAAATTGTACTCGCAATGATTTTCTACGTTAATGTCAATTCCCATTCGCGCGTCAGACAGTTTTAGAGATATTCGGTAAAAACGCGTTTTTATTAATTCTCACTTTTAAGAATGTTTTCGCCCGTTGCCGTCGTCATACGGCTGACATAGAACAATACGTGTAAAATATTTATACGACGCGTTCCCGTCGTGCTGCTAAAAGAACGTATATTAAATTCGCCGCGACAATTGGACGGGTATCCATTGTCATTTTCCCGACAAAAAGGTATCATTGATATGCGGATGACAGGAATTCCGATTCGCAGGGAACCGGAAGCTTTAATTGGAATTCAATTAATCCGAAATATCAATTTTCTCGTCGGGTAGGAACGTACCATTTCATATTTCCCGTTCTCATTTCGAAAGGAACGCGACTATTGTTTTACGACAGAACGGTTGCATAGTTCCCATATAGATACGGGACTTGTTTTACAGCCCGGTCTCTAAATGGACGTTCGGAGAGTTCGCGTACACGTTGCTGAAATGTTTCCGGCAACGCGCATACCTAGAATACCGGCTTCCCTCTCTCGCGAGGAGCACAAAATATATGAGTTGTGTCCGCGCCCCGGCAATTGATATTTCTGTTATTATGTTTTTCCGGCTGTTCGGATCACGTAATTACAGATTACTCTGCAGGACGTAGTATCGGCTGTTAAATTCCTGGAAAGCCGTTTAAACCGAGGAATGTTTGCTAGCCCGAAAGCAGGAGTTTTAAAACGTTTAAACCGCTTGTTTTTCGGTATGAATTCGGAGCTGTTAATACCACGCATCGAATATTTCGTAAATCTGTGCGAAAGAGAGCAGTTTTTCTATACGTGGAAACGGCAGTTTTTTTGCAAGAAGGCCGTGCTACGGTAATTTCTCCCGGAATTGTTCGGAGGTCGAAATTGAAACCGGCAGATTTGAGAATACCGAGTCGCGATTCTTCGGGCTTCGCGGCTCGTTTTTATAGAAACTCGGGGCAGTCGGCGAAAAAAGGCAGCGACCAGCATGCCGGTGTACATTAACACTTTACAGGCCGCGCGGTTTTATGAGAAACCTTCGCGGGGAGCCAACGTTTTATCCTGGATCAAACTGCTGTTTTACAAGTAAACAAAATTATAATTGAATTATAGTTTGCGAATCGGCGATCGATTGTCGGGTAAACTGCGCGAATGTTGAAATTTTAGGTTTATTGTTATATCATCAAGGTGAATTGCGATTTCGCACTCGTGCACAGTCGAATCGAAAATAACTAGTAGTTTGTACCGCCGATGCTGGTGCCGAACGGCGCGCGATCAGTGTATTCAGGAAAAATTGCTACGCGAGGAGTGGGGCGGCGACGCGTGCGGAGGGAGTCCCGCGCAGCGGCGCGGCGCGTCTACCGGGTGAGCATTGTAATTCAGAACTACGATGGCGACGCGACACGACGCAGAGCTGCGGGTACAATACAATGCAATAGGCGCCACCCTGTAGACGCGCCGCGCCGCTGCGCGGGAGTCTCGCGCGTGCGTCGCCTGCCCCCACTCCTCGCGTAGCGACTTTTCCTGAATACACCGCGCGTGATACGCATGTTGTACCAGCGGCCGTTAACGTCAGTTTGCGCCGTGACACAACTGTTGTGTCGGCGGCCACTAAAGCGTTAATACGAGTACATAGTAATGATAGAATGGAAACGATGACTTAACTTTTTTATTTCTAATTTTTGCCACGATCCGAAGGAGGCCACGTGGCACGATTCGAAGGCGAATCGAAGGCAATTCAGAGGCCATGTGACACGATTCAAAGGCAATTCAGAGGCCACGTGACGCGATTCGACGGTCATGCATCTAGTATCTGCCACGTACCTTGTAATTCCGCGGTTTTTCTTGCATCGACTTCTCGCATCGACGTAGTAATAATTTACATAGGCGTAGAACCAGCGCTGGGAAATTCACAGCAACCTGAAAATTGGCATTTCTGGGAGAAATTATTGTATACAGTAATGTCTCCCTAACTAACACTCAGATTGCGCACAAAAATAGACAGTTTGGGAAGAGGAGAGCTTTATTGGAGCCTTGCCGTTCGTTTTATATTTACCGATTGTCAACAACTATAAAAACAAGTCACCATGCTCGAATAATCGCATCTCCGCTTCCCAAATTGTCCAGTTTTGTGCAGAATCTCAGCGTCAATCAGGGAGAATTTACTGTACCTTGTAGCTCAGCGCTTTTTCTTGACTCACGTCCAAACAGACCTCATTATCAACGTGGCAATAAATTACATAGGCGTAGGACCTAGCACAGGGAAATTCACAGCAACCGGAAATTTGGCATTTCCGGGAGAAATTACTATACGTCAAGTGTCTTTTCACTCTTCTGTCCGGCATCGTAGAAATGGCAGTGGCACTAGTTTCTGTGCACAGAAATCGGCGCGCACCCGAATCCCCACGAGCGTCCACAAATTCTGCTGGCCGATGCACCGCTGGTCGGCCCTTGTCGTTAAACTAGCCAGGAGCAGAATGAAATTGCAATTTCACCCGGGTTCCGGGATCAACCGTGCGCCCACCACCTCGGCCCCACCCTCCGTCGTGAAACGATCGTAGCTAAGCAAGCGAATTCCAAGGCAGCTAGCTTGTTTCAAGAGGGACCATTGCTGCATGCATTAGCGTTACTGTACCGAGAGAGAGCCTTATTTATTAGCGTGGCATCAAGGAACTCGCTGCCGAACTCCCCAAAGCACTCGTCGCAAAAGGATCGGGCGCTGGCGCGGGGCTCGATGGGCGAGCCGGCGTTTTATTCACGACGATGCAACTTCTGCTCACCGTTTCGTCGGCACGCATCGCCCGGCGCCGACTCTCCGCCGGTGAATAAAAGATTGAAAAGCGAGACCGTAGGAACGCTCCGTCACGGACAATCGAGTTGGAAACAGTTTCTGGCACTCGACGCCGCGAATCTCGGCACGCAATTAACGACTCCTTTTTCATCGCTGTTCGAACCGAAAGGATCGATTACTTCGAGTGCCCGGATGCTCGACGCTCTGCCAGCCGACGGTTTTATAAAATGGAACAACATTTTTTAACATTAGACAGAGCGATTTGAATATTTGCGAGATTTTTGGAGAAATTTGTTTGCTAGAGAATGCGTGGAAAATATTTTTATCCGATCGAAGAATTTGCTGCGACTCGTTTCGTGCGGTTTCAGAAAAATAATTTCGTTTTATCTTTATTTATATCTTGTTGTATACGGGGTGTCCCAAAATTATGGTACTTCAGAGAAACGAGAGGTTGCTGAGGTGATTTAAAGCAACTTTTTCCTTTGCGAGAATGCGATCCGCGGCTTCGTTTGCGACTTATTAACGGAAAACGCTGACCAATGAGCGGCGAGCTCTCGGCTGGCGCTAGGCGGCACCGAGCTTCGCGCGCTCGTTGGCCGGGCCGCCTCGCGCCTACTCGAGCTCGCCTCTCATTGGTCACCGTTTTTCGTTAATAACTCGTTAACGACGCCTCTGAGAACATTTTTGTAAAGGAAAAAGTTGCTTCGAATGATCTCAGGAATCTATAGCTTCCCGGAAATATCATAATTTTGGGACACCCTGATAAAGTTTTTCGGTATATGTACTATTCTTTCGAATATTACGATTCGAATGATCGTTTCTAGGTGAAATTTTACTAAAAATTTTCCCTTCGACGAGCAAATGATCTCATTCTTTGCTTTCCAGTTATTTGTCTAATTATTGTTACTCTCTATCCTGCGAATAGGCACAACTAGACCAAGGAGAATTCCACGTCGAGTTTGCTCGAGGAGACACAGTAATTCGAACTGTCTTTGGACAAACATTTAGACGTAACTTGGGGTATCAATGGAACACTGTTACCCAGTTTCGCCTAAGTTTCTGCAACGACATTATGAATTATTGGCCGACAGTCTGTTTGAACGTCGCTGCAACATCAATACCGGCGGAAAAAGTCTGGCATCACCGAATGCACTGAAACAAGCGGGTCGATTGAATGACTCTGACACTTTAATTTTTTAACCCTTTGCACTCGAAGCCATTTAAATTGTAAATCTAAAATAATTTTTCTCACTTATAATATTTCCATTTTACACGACAAAGTGCGTGTTACGCATACGAAATTGAGTCTTGCGACTCAAACAACGGTTACGCTTTTAACAATATTTTAAAGCTATACTTTGACAATATAAAAGTTACCTTGAAACGCGATGCAACAATTCTTCTGGTGCTTCAGAGTCACCGCTCGAGTGCAAAGGGTTAATTCAACTTCGTCGCTTTAATTTTTCTCCTGAACTACATGTTTCATAAAATAAAAATGTTACCCAGCAAAAAGTTGTCTGATACAAAGAGCTGTATATGCACGGCGGAATTAATCTTCTGCTGTTCTTCTTATTTACATTTTTCTGCTATTTATCTAACACACAGCGCGCACGTATCATTCGCATCGCTTTATCGTCTACATGCTCGCGTTAATTGTAACGAACGATCGTCTTCTACATTTCTAGCGTTGAAAATCAACGAAAGAATATTTCGATGAAACAGCGACAAATTGATCGTCGCCGTGCACCGAACAACTTTCGTTCGAAACATATTTTTACGCAACACGTAGTCTGCAGGAAAAATTAAGGTGAAGGAGTTGAACAACGACTCGCCGCGTATAATAAATAGAACGAACAAGTTCCGCGTTCAAAATATATTTGTTTCGCTAAATCAGTAATATAATCCGTATTCGCGACACAACGAGGAAGGCTCGTTCGTAAGTCGGCGAATATGAGAACGAAGGATACTTTTTTCGATAAAATTGTGCGAATGTACGCGTCGTAGCGCGGCTCTACAAATTTTCTTGTTATCGAATACGTCGTCGCGTATATCGATTTCTATAGAACCGGAATCGTCGTCCTATACGGGATAGCTCGATCAAGAAAAGTGTCGTCGCCAGAAGTGCTCCACCCTCGTTGCAACATCTGCAAACCATCAACGAGCATTGGCTTCGGCCACGAAGTACATCACATCTCGACAGTATCATCGTTTCCGTCCTTGACATAACCGCCCTGGCTTTAACTTGGTCCTCGACATGTCGATGTTACAAGAGAAAGACTCGCCCTTTTCTTCCACTTCTGCAATGTAACCGATATTTATAATATTTATGATATATGATATAAATAACATTATATATTATATTATAATATATTACATTATATTATATTATATTATATTATATTATATTATATTATATTATATTATACTATATTGTATTATATTATACTATATTATATTATATTATATTATATTATATTATATTATATTATATTATATTATATTATATTATATTATATTATATTATATTATATTATATTATACTATATTATACTATATTACGCTATATTATACTATATTATGCTATATTATACTATATTATACTATATTATATTATATTATATTATATTATACTATATTATACTGTATTATATTATATTATTTTGACTTCAAATTGTTATTTAATCTTTATTACCGTTTATCTATTACATCGCTCCATTACATATTTCACTCTAATACCGATGAGTCACATCCAACACACGCGACAGCGTCAAATTCTCGAAACTAATATCAAGCGGGTCTCGACTCGTGAATCTGGAAATGGGACACGTTAACCAGGGTCCTTCCCTCGTCCGTCACTTAACGTAGACCTAAGCCCGCGGACTAATTATGTCGATTCGCTTTTGATCGGGATCGTGAATCGAAATCATAAGGGGATCTCGAGTGAGCCGAGCCGATCCTCTACTAACGAGGAAGAACGTAGCCGAACGGTGATCACGGATTAGGATGGAAGAAGCAATCCGTAGCAGATTATAGCGATCTTGATTTATATATAAGGAGAACATTTATTGGCCATGCAAAGGTCTCGGTCAATTTGCAGTGAAATGTTTTACGCGAAATCCTGTTTTGCACAAAAGTGCTATAACCGTTCGCGTAAAAAAATGCGATCGCGCTAGGCGGATAAATGAAATGTAAGAGCAACGGTGCCCTAAAAATCGCTGGGTTTTAATCAAAGCGTTTTTTAAACTTACTTTTTCTGTAGCAGAAAACCTTGTAATAATACTATTTCAGGTCATTTTCTTTTTTTGCAAACTAGAAACGTAGTCTTCGCTGAAACCTTTCGGTTGCTTCGAAAGCGACGCCTTCCGCCATTTTAACCCTTAAATGCATATTGTTGCCAATTGTCTTCTCATTCCGGTTCCACTTAATTTTATTCAAAAACCTGAGTATGTGCGTTTCCGAACAGACAATAGACCATGTGTGAAATAAAAGACTTGACTTTACTTTTGGCGAGTAAGTTATATGTTTTTTGACATTTCAATGTGGTGGGTGATAACCTTCAATGTGTTACTTGTAGAGATATTTTCTTTCTTCGAGTTTCCTATAAAAAGGAAAGCTTCGTGTCACAACAAAAATCGCAATTGCTTTGCTGCATTTCATTTATAAATAATGTGAAAATTCCTACACTAATAGATAATATATAAATACATAACCATTTGTTTACGTCTACAATAATTTTAGTAATAAACGCATATTGTTGCCAAAAGTCCACGTACAACTTTCTCTTCAAAATAAATACTCGATATTATTACCTAGATTTTTTAAATTTATTTTTTACGTAACCTATAACTACATTCCTATAAGAAACGATTTTTTAAAATTCAAAACAAAAAACCATGCATTTAAGGGTTAAAGCCACGCAATCGGGACGTTTACGAACTCAACTATGAAGTTAAATACTAAAGTTTCCGTACTATACGCGCATGTGACCGTTTCAAACACACTTTGTCGAAGATCTCTCTTAAAAGGAGGTTCTTCGCATCGGCACTAAACGCAGGTACACGAACTTCGTCTCTTCGGAGACATTTACTTGCGCGACAAAAAGTCCCAAACACACGAGAACCCGTGGTTACACGAACAAAGAGAACGCGCGGCCGAGACGGTAATACTCATTCTAGTCTTGCATTCAGAAACTTCCAGACGCGGTCTTTTAACAAATTTCGACCAACACCGAGTTTCCCCGTCTGCGATTCACGAAGACGGAATTTCTGCGCGTCATGAAAGTCAAATTTATACATTTCACACACACACACACACAAATACATGCAACTTGTAAGAACGCGAGTGCAGCGGTGTACAAATAGTTCTATAGTTAATACTGATCTTCGATTTTTATTAACTATTTTTATTGCATTCGAGATTGGTGACTCCGACGCACCACTAAAATTGTTAGTTCACGTTCCAAGATAATTTTTATATTAACGAAGTTGAAATTTAAGAAATCGTTAAAACCGTAACTGTTATCACAAGCAATACTCAATTTCATATGCATAAAATGCACTTTGTTCTATAAAATGGGAATACCGTAAGTCAGAAAAATTATTTTACATTTACGGTTAAAATGGCTCCGGGTGCAAAGGGTTAATCTGCGATATATAGTATAATATAGTATAATATAATATAATATAGTATAGTATAGTATAATATAGCATAATATAGTATAATATGATATAATATAGTATAATATAATGTAATATAGTATAATATAATATAGTATAATATAATATAATATAGTATAGTATAGTATAGTATAATATAGCATAATATAGTATAATATGATATAATATAGTATAATATAATGTAATATAGTATAATATAATACAATATAGTATAATATAGTATAATATAATATAATATAATATAGTATAATATAGTATAATATAACATAATATAATATCATATAGTATAATATGATATAATATAGTATAATATAGTATAATATAACATAATATAATATCATATAGTATAATATAGTATAGTATAATATGATATAATATAGTATAATATAATGTAATATAGTATAATATAACATAATATAATATAATATAGTATAATATAGTATAGTATAATATAGCATAATATAGTATAATTGTACTTTCCCGTTCCGCGATTTCTACGCTCCCATTTTTTCCCCCTAACCGTCGACCTTGGATCATTAGCGACACCCGAAAAGCTGCGCGCAATTCCCGCCGATATAAACGTAACCGAGCGGCGTTACATTCGCGAGAAACGCGGCGGACGATTAAATCGCGGCAAATGAAAATTTGATGAACCGCGTTCCACACGAATTTTCGGATCCGCGGTGGGCTTATGCGAAACGCGGCCGGCGGACGGGACCAATTAAATCTGAAAGGTGGGTGGCGCGTTCATCGATTTCCTAATTTTATTTCGAGAGGAACGTGCAACTCGGGACGCAAGAATTGAAAATAACGGCGTTGGATTGTCGCGCGCGGAAATGAAATGCGCGAATAATCGGGGACGGTCAAGGATTACAACGGCGGGATCCGCGCGCGCGCGCGGCCGAATGTTTATGCTAATTAATTTGCCGCGTCGATTTTTCATTCCGGCCGCGACGGATTAACCCTTTCGCGCCGAGCGCCGCATATGAGTCTGAGGCACCGCTAAAAAAAAATTGTTGTGTCACGTTCTAAGATAATTTTTATATTATCAAAGTTTAGATTTTATTATTATATAAATTATTTTTTTATTATTATTTTATATAAATTATATTTTTATTTATATTATTATTATATTATATTATTATATTATTATTACACGTATAACTGTTACACAAATCCGAAAACTCGATCTCGTACGCATAAAATATTCGATAACAAGACAATTTGTAGAGCCGCGCTACGACGTACATTCGCACAATTTTATCGAAAAAAGTATCCTTCGTTCTCATATTCGCCGACTTACGAACGAGCCTTCCTCGTTGTGTCGCGAATACGGATTATATTACTGATTTAGCGAAACAAATATATTTTGAACGCGGAACTTGTTCGTTCTATTTATTATACGCGGCGAGTCGTTGTTCAACTCCTTCACCTTAATTTTTCCTGCAGACTACGTGTTGCGTAAAAATATGTTTCGAACGAAAGTTGTTCGGTGCACGGCGACGATCAATTTGTCGCTGTTTCATCGAAATATTCTTTCGTTGATTTTCAACGCTAGAAATGTAGAAGACGATCGTTCGTTACAATTAACGCGAGCATGTAGACGATAAAGCGATGCGAATGATACGTGCACGCTGTGCGTTAGAAAAATTGCAGAAAAATGTAAATAAGAAGAACAGCAGAAAATTAATTTCGCCGTGTATATACAGCTCTTTGTATCAGACAACTTTTTGCTGGGAAACGTTTTTATTTTATGAATCATGTAGTTCAGGAGAAAAATTAAAGCGACGAAGTTGAATTAACCCTTTGCACTCGAGCGGTGACTCTGAAGCAGCAGAAAAATTGTTGCATCGCGTTTCAAGATAACTTTTATATTGTCAAAGTATAGCTTTAAAAAATTGTTAAAAGCGTAACCGTTGTTTGAGTCGCAAGACTCAATTTCGTATGCGTAACACGCACTTTGTCGTGTAGAATGGAAGTACTATAAGTCAGAAAAATGATTTTAGATTTACAATTTAAATGGCTTCGAGCGCAAAGGGTTAAATGCCCGCTGGTTCTCCGACGATAAAATCCGGCGTCTTGGAGCGTCCGCGGACGCTGAAATATCTTTCCGTTGACGCCGCGCTCTTTCCCGCGGCTTTTTAACCAGAATATTACTTAATAGTCGCGGCCGTTCGCCATTGAAAACATTCTTTATCGGATCGCGCGATTATCCGACCTCATTTGCTAATGGGAATATAACGAACCGCTGCTGGAACGATGATTAATTATTCGCGGCCGCCGCCGGCGAACGCGAAAGAATTCCCGCGTTCTAAACAAAAAAAAAAAAGAATTGAAATCGGCCGCCGTTACGAAAACGAGGACCGCGGCGACGATTCTCGATAACATCATATCCGGTTCCGTCGCGTAATTACGTTCAATTTCCGATTTATTATTTGCGCGAGCGGGCCGATCGCGACGCGAAGTGTTATTAAATTCGACAAACGCGCCGCAATTTGTCATTTACCAGCTCTAATAGATTATATTAATGTGAGGTGTGTGCGCGCGCGATACGATTATCCCGTCAAAAACTGAAAATTCAATGACGGTCCGGTTCTACGATGCCGTTCCGCGTCGCCGTC